AAAAATAAAAATATTTAATTTTATCTTTTGATACTCTACCCAAAAAGTAAGACAGCCTTCAAAAATATAATTTTGTGTTTTCTTAAGATAATCTTCAGGATAACAGGATTTAGGGTAAACAAGGTAAGAAAAAAGGGCCAGGCACAATAGCTCACACCTGTAATCCTAGCACTCTGTGAAGCTGAAGCATGGATTGCTTGAGCTTAGGAGTTCGAGGCCAGCCTGTGCAAGAGCAAGACCCAACTAAAAACAGAAAAACTAGCTGGGCATGCCTGTAGTCCCAGCTACTCAGGAGGCTGAAGCAAGAGGACACTTGAGGCCAGGCGCTGTGGCTCACGCCTATAATCCTAGCACTTTGGGAGACTAAGGTGGGTGGATTGCCCGGGATCCTGAGTCTGAGACCAGACTGAGCAAGAGCGAGACCTCATCTCTAAAAATAGCCAGGTGTTGTGGCAGGCGCCTATAGTCCCAGCTACTTGGGAGGCTAAGGCAAGAGAATCGCTTGAGCCCAAGAGTCTAAGATTTCTGTGAGCTATGACATCATTGCACTCTACCCAGGGCGACAAAGTGAGACTCTGTCTTGTTAAAAAAAAAAAAAAAGGAGGATCACTTGAGTTTGAGGTTGCTTTGAGCTATGACAACACCACAGCGCTCTACCCAGGGTGAGACTCTGTCTCAAAAAAAAGAAAAAGGAAAAAGCAGCAGTCAGGAGTAGCATTTGTACTAATTAATTCACCAGTGAATGAACTTAGTCTAATAATTAAAATAAGTTTACTTTCAAAATGTATTAATAACTTTTTTTCCTTTTTACTCAGTAATTATGCTTAACATCTACAACTATTATTTTAAGGACAGAGACATGAGGCTAATGGAAACAAGTCTCAGTAAAAGAACTAGAAAATTATTACCTCTAAATACAAAATAATACAGTAGAAATCTTTGTCTCTCACACCTATTCAGTAAGATTAGGTTAAGGAATGATCTACCTAGAGATGTCTATTTGAAGAGAAAGTTGGTCAAAAAATGTAAATTATCTTGATAGGTGTGAAATTTGAGCCTTCTCAACGGTATGTGACTGAGGCTGCATCTTTAAGATACAAAGTAAAAGCACAAAACCAGAACAAAGTGGGAAGGTTCCATCACCACTCAATGAAATCACTAAATATTTTTCTGTTACTAACAAGATCGTGCAAAGGTAGAGAGGAACAAATAGGGGGCTAGAGACGCTTTTTT